CTCAAATTTCCGGTCTTTAATTCTCGAGCTCGCTATTTCGTCCATGGTTTTTTCGTTTGAGCTCCGATTCGTGTTTTATTTTTTTGCGTTGGCTTCCCACTAATTTATGGAACTTATCTAGGTACTCTTGTCACCAGTTGGCTTGAGTATTTAGATTTGGGAAGTTGCTTCTTCTCAATAGGAGTTGAGTATCCTATTTTATATTCCTCGATTTGATGCGAGTGCTTCGTGGTCTGTTCGCTTTGTGGTGTCCCGCTGTATTTCTAAAGAACATCCACCCACTCATTTTGATCGTGGACACCACGGTGGTTGCTTTGCGTGTTTGGCGGTGATTTGGGACAGCAGCTGAAAATATTTCGAGAGAAAAGTTACGGCTTCCATTCTCCCTTCTCTGGTCGCCGTTTTGGGTCCTTCAGGGCATCAGGCTGTCACCCTTTGCTGACTTCATGGACTGTATCGATTCTGGTCCGGTGGCGCTTGGCCACTACATGATTCAGCAGCTCAACAAGCACGAGGGCTTCCTCTACTGTCACATGATGGAACCTCGGATGACAATTGTTGACGACCGCTGGCAGATCCCTCACGGGCTCCTGCCGTTCCGAAAGGCGTTTAATGGCACGTTTATTGTCGCCGGCGGGTACGACCGAGAGGAAGGAAACAAGGTAGTGGGTGAAGACTATACTGACCTTGTCGCATATGGGAGAATCTTCTTGGCTAATCCGGACCTGCCAAAAGGTTCGAGTTGAATGGTCCGCTGAACAAGTACGACCGCTCTACCTTCTACACGCAAGATCCTGTTGTTGGCTACACGGATTATCCTTTCATGGAAGATGATAGCAATAATGAGGTCAAGTATTCATGCTTAACCGTGCAGATAACCAATCTGATCACAACTAATAATGTGCATCAGTAAATGGTTCATCAAGTAGGGTTCATGATTATTTCCACCATTCCTTATTGACTTTTGTGGCAGTCATTACATCATGTTGTTTCATTCTCAACTAGTGTAAGGTAAAATAAATGTACTTGCTGAAATTATTAGAAAATAAACGACCTATTATTTTCTAGATCATCGGATTTGTTGCCTCGCACAAGGAGAATTTTGGCCACTTGTACCCTTTTCGCAATTGCCTTCCTGGGTAGATTTCAATGGTTTGAATTCTTATGCAACATTTCATTATACCGTGTGAGCTTATAGCTGTTTGTGAGTTTATCCACAATTTATTTAATCTTCTTCTGCAGATTATAATAGTTTGAATCCTTATGTAGTAACTCATTGAATCCTCATTGAATCAACATATTAAGTCAAAACTTGGGGATAGCAATGTTTTGCATGGATCTTTGAGACTTCTCTGTTCTGAATGGTAGATAGATGTCGTCCAATTTTGAGTCAAAGACGATTGCCTGCATTTTGTTAGCAGAAAGCATTTGAATTTTGTTTGTGGTCAGTCCTAGGATAATCTAAACTGTGGAATAATCAGGTTTTCCCAACACAGCGGTAATCTTAATTGGTCGAATGACATACATGATACATATCGCTCTGGTTTTTAAGATGAAGCCAGATTTTTGTGGCTTAGTACAAATGCAAGAAACGAACCACAGGTTTCAATTAATGGTATAGGAAAAGTGATTAACAATATATCTAGTGACAGTAGTTTGTAATTTGCATAAAAGATTTTTATGGACTAAAAAAATCAAATAAAAACAGTGGTGATATTATGCGATCCATTTCTTCGTTTTTATTCATATTATGTGTTGGGAATCGAGGGTCCCAACAAGACAGGAGAGAGCACGATGCAGCTCTCCCCTAGGGCACCGGAGGCCTCACTGTAGGATTAGGGCCTTCGGCACGAAGGCATGCGAATACCGAGGCGATTTCTAGGGTTTCTAGCCACGGAATCACTCTCTCATTAATTGGGGACCGAGCCCTCCCATTTATAGGGTACGTTTACAATATTTTATGAGTACAAGAATGCCCTTGTGACTGCTAAGGCATATTCCAATATATTCTGTCTTCTCATGAACAACCTTCTGGGCCTTAGCATCTTTTACATCTTCAACCACCCTCGCCGGTGGGCCAATGTCGAGCTCATTCCTTGGCCCAAGAGGCCCCTTGGCTCAACCTTGCCGCTGTCGCGTTTCCTTGGTTTAGGGCGTCGGGCAATCGCGGCCCCGATTAGACCGACACTCCACCAGTCGAAGGATCCACTCGTCGTCCTATCGACCACAAGCACCCCGAAGGTCGTGGGACTCTGCCGAGGGCTTCCGTCCTTGGGATCCCTGTCGAAGGTTTTTCCGAGCCTTCGACCCTTTTCCTTCCATAGCAGTTGGTCATCATCTGTTTGGCCTTCGTGACTTCATCGAGGGTTCCGCCAAGCCTTCAACCTTCTTCCCTTCATAGCATTCCCTATGTGTGTTGCGTGACAAGTTCCTGGCTGGTGGTATCATCATGAAGGGAATTTCACAATCTTGGAGGGAATTTCGGACTACTCTAAAATAAAAGAGACAAGAGTTTAGCGTTACTGACCTTAATGGTTATCTTGATGTTGAAGAGAAGGCCAGGGAAAAGACACTCGCAGGAAAAAGACTTGAATCTTTGTATGGCCTAAAATAAACACATAAGCAATGGCATGAGAAGTTCAATAAAACTTTAACATATGCTAGTTTTTGTTGTGAATGAGGCTGACATACGTGTGTATTGTTGCTATGGTAGGGGCGAAGGTACAATATTGTGTTCGTATGTCAATTGATTAAGGAGGTGAAGGACTTCTTGTCCAATAATTTTGTGCTCGCTCCTTGCTCCCGGCGTACACTCACTCCTATTCCTGGCAATCAAATCCAAGACAAAGGAGAAGATCTACTTTGACTACTCTAGTACACGTACGTGACTACTTTCTGATAGCCGTTCGTGGGACGGCGCTACACACCTCAACCTCCTCCTGCATCGACTGTGGTCCACGATATTAGTAAGCTCTTTATGTCGCCTAGTGGGACGACGTCGCGGCCCTAGTCCCGTCTTAGGACATATTGCTATAGCTCCTATTGTTTTATTTCTTTGTATATGATCAATATAATGTCAACAGATAGATCACATGTGCACATGCTTGTCAAAAATGTTTTACCAATTTTCTACATTAAATTGCACCCAAATTTGTCTAAATATCTACACATGCTACACTGAGGGACTTCAACAACCCTAGGGCACTTTTCCATGTTGTGAATTAAGTGTTTGTGTGTTCATATGTTAGGCGAGTCAAGACTCTAAGGGTTAACATGAATTAATACATTTTTTACGGTACACTACATGTCACGATAGATGGCAACGACTCCATAAAAGAAGCAATGAATGTAATAAACAAACATGATATAATCAACAAGGACAATGCGCTTGTAGATATCTTTGTGGGCCACAAGGATCATGGGAACTTCATAAAGATTGAACTTCTGAAAATTGTGTAGACTGAACTTCTGAAAACTACTATCACTAGATATATTGTTAATTCAAAAGTCAGGCTTCATCTTAAAAAACAAGCGACATGTATGTCATTTACCCAATTTAGGTAATTAGGCTATTGTACTAGAAAACCTAATTATTCAACAGTTTAGATGTTCCTAGGATTAGTCACAAGCAAAATTAGAATGCTAGATGCTAACAAAATGTAGGCAATCTTTTACTCAAAACTGAAGAATGCAATCTCAAGGTCGTTGCAAGCAAAACCTTACGTTCCCCAAGTTTAGGACCTGTTTGGAATGGAGGTACAAAATAAAGGGATAGAAAAAAAATACAAGAATAGAAGAGGAATAAGTGTGTATAACAGAGGAATCAAACACACAGGATTTTTGGAAGATTTGGTGTTTGGGCCAAAGGAATATGAGCCCCATATGAGTTTAAGGATTAGTGATAAACATAATTGCTTAGACTAAACAAGAACTACATAAAATATTTTTTTTCTTTCACAAAGAGGCATATATTAGTTAATAAATCAAAATATCCTAGTCGGGCACATATGCTAGTGCTTGTTGAAACCATGGGCTCTAGTTTTTTAGTGTAAATCAATTTGTGCTTTGGCGGTTTGCTTCCATGAAAGCATGCACCAGTAACATTAGTAATCCTGAGTTCCTCAGATTTTGTGAAGAAATTGAAAGAGGTGGTAGTGGATTTTCTCGTTCCTTCAAAACCTTTCCTCTAGAAAGAAATTCATAAATCCTCCGTTCCAAACGATGCTTCAGTGTTTAAAACTACAAGAATATGATTCCTTTAGAATTTCTTTGAAAATCATGTAATCCAAACAAAGCCTTACAAAATCGAGTTTTGACGGAATATATTTTTGTGATTACACAGTACAGACACTCACAATACATGCACACTGGCCCCTATGAACACACGCACGTAAACCCTACCCCTAGTCGAGATTGACAAAGTCATCACATATGTCTCGCTGTCGACGAAACTGAAAGCATAACACCGTTAAATCCTGAAAAATTCGCTCCCACGAGTAGTCGAACCCAGAACTTAAGGTGCTACTGAGGCTCTTATAACCATTAGGCTACATGCTCTTTCGCTTTCACTTGACTGAATATATTGACTCAACGAGGATTCAATGAATTGTTGCATAAGGATTTAGACTCTATTATGGTTTGTAGAAGAAGACTAAGGAAATGCTAGGTAAGCTCACAAAAAGCTACAAGCTCACACGGTATAGTGAAATGCTACATGAGGATTCTATTGTAGTCTGCCAAAGAAGGGAATTACGAAAAGGTATAGGTGACAACGATTCTCCTTGGACAAGTCTCCAAATCAGATGATCTAGAAAATAGTGGATACTTTTTCTAATAATTTCGGCAAGTACATTTATTTCGCCTCACATTAATAGTAGATACTTTTTCTAATAATTTCGGCAAGTACATTTATTTCACCTCACATTAGTATAAAATGATGAACCCATACTTGATGAACCATCCACATTATTAGTTGTGATCATATTTGATTATCTGCATGATTAAACTTGAGTACTTGACTCATCATTATTGCTACTGTCTTCGAGGAAAGGGTAATCCGTGTAGCCAACAACGGGATCTTGCATGTAGAAGGTAGAATGGTCGTACTTGTTCAGTGGTGCATTCAGCTCGAACCTCTTAGGCAGGTCCGAGTTAGCCAAGAAGAGCCTTCCATATGCGACAAGGTCAACATAGCCTTCTGCCACTACCTTGTTGCCTTCCTCCCGATCGTACCCATAGGCGGCGATAAATGTGCCGTTAAACGCCTTTCGGAACGGCAAGAGCCTGTGAGGAATCTGCTTGCGACCGTCCACAATAGCCATTCGAGGTTCCACCATGTGGCAGTAGAGGAAACCCCTCGTGCTTGTTGAGTTGCTGGATCATGTAGTGGCCAAGCGCCACCAGATCGGAATCCACGCAATCGAAGAAGTCAACAAAGGGTGATAGCCTGATGCCCACGCGGTCCGCGCCCACCTCACGGACAATGGCGTCTATGACCTCCACGGCGAAGCGGCACCGGTTCTCTAGGCTGCTGCCGTACTCATCTGTGCGGTCATTAGAGCTGTCCTTCATGAACTGCTCGAGGAGGTATCCCTGCGCGCCGTGGATCTCAACACCATCGAAGCCGGCTTCAATTGCAGTCCACGCAGTCCGCAACCGGCGCGGCTTCGAATACACCATTCCGAACTCGGCGTTCGGGGAAATCTGCTTGTCCGTGCTCGAGATAGGCTCCTGTCCGTCGGGCTGAAAATCTGCGAATTGGGTTGAAGGAAAATCAGTAACCAACAAGACAACCAGCACCTGATCAAACAATAGTATAGTCAGAGCTAACAAAGATATATACATTGGCATGTTCGGCCGATATTAAAGCCGGTTAAAGCTGTTTTGTTGTGAGAGAAAAATACTATAGATTAACTGATAAGCCGGCTGATAAGTTTAAACGAAGAAACCCAAAAGTGCTAGATGGGAACAAATCATTATTGGAAACCCTGCCGACATGTCAAATCTGACAGAAGAAGATGCCACCCTTACGGTGGGTGGCGTCGACGATGGGCTTCCACGCCTTGACCTGCTCCTGCGTCCAGATTCCAGGAACCTCCGAGTACCCCTGCATGGTGGCCGACACCCTGTGGCCTCCGCGATGAGTAGGCCACCCTTGGTGGATATAAGTCTTTATAGTTCGGTTGTGATGAGTGATTGTCATCGTGACTTCTTCTTGAGTTGTCCATGTCTTTGAGGACCAAGTTTTACAAGTTTTGCTCACTTCAAATGTCTCTGGGGACCAAGTTTTGCTCACTTCATCAAGGGGAAGATTGCAAACACAAGGTTGATATGTGCCCTTAAGGTTCAGTTGTGATGAGTGATTATCAACGTGACTTGCTTCTTGAGTTGAGTTTGTGAGCTAACCATGGCGTGAGTTGGGTTGTGCGACATGTGTCTTGCTTGTGGTGCGCAGGTATGAAGCTCGGAGGCGGTGGTCGACGACGAGGTGAAGGTCAAGTAGGGATGTGCCGTGCCGATGGACCGGGAGTGAAGGACGAACGTGAGGCTTGGACTGAGGGACCAGGAGGCCGGGTGACCAGCCGCGGTGGCTGACATCTAGGGACATCGACAAGTGCAAATGTATATGGTGGAGTGACCCTATTGACCGAGTCAAGACGGCGGTCGAGCGAGTCGAGCGGGGCTCTGAAAGACTTGGCGGCTGACCGGTCGAGGATGGCGGTGACACGCGTCGAGTGACGGGGGACGTGTATGGAGTACGCTATTCGCGACGGTTTGGTGGGTTTTATGGTTTTGGGTCCCAAAACTTGGGCAGAGGTTCCGAGGAGGAACGGGGCGGTACGTGGCAGAATCATGGAGGTTGCGTCAAGGCGAAGCAAATCCGTGAAGAAAGCGTGGCCGTCCGAAAGAGTTGGATCATTACGCCCTCAAGTTAGTGGTTCAGCTTAAAAATATTTAGGGACCAAATTAGGATTGTGTAATAGCCCTATTAAATAGGACGAGGTTCCCCATCACCCTCGCCTCTTCTCATTTTCATTTTCTCCTTGCCCTAGGTTTTCTACTCCCCTTAGTATTCGTAAGAGAGGTCCATAGATTCCAAAATTGTGTAATCAAACCTGAGTTTTTAGCTGGGAATGGAGGCCCGAATCCTCCAGCTGTCCTCTGGGATTCCTGAATTGAAGCTGTGATTTTCGTTCACTGTGTTCTTTAATTTTTCCCCTTTTTCGTTTTTTGGTTTGATCTTAATTTCCCGGAGTTTGGTTCAATCCCAGGCTATGATTTTTGGGGAATAGTTTCGTTCCTTGTTGAATTGCGTCTGTGCAAATTTTGGGAACGAATCTTGGAGTTTTGAGTCGAATTTCATCGAATTTTTGTCGCCTCTTTTTTCTGTTCGTCGAGCGTCGGCTCTCTGTTCTTGAGTGCGTTGCTTCCTTCTTCTCTGTTGTGTCAGTCCTGAGAGGGAATCGATTGAGTGGCACCTGCAGCTGTGTCCTTCACTCAGGAAACCGGTGCACTGACCTTGGTTGGAGATGACCGGCACACAGCCACGCAGCGCTAGCAGCTCGTCGTGCCTCGAGGCGCTACTTCATCCTGTTCATCGGTGTTGGTCTGGGACGCAGACCCCGCTGGTTCCTCTCTGCGGTGAGCAGCCCCACCGTTGCGACGTTCCGTTCGGTTGCTCGTCCCCGGATCCCTAGCGCAGCAAGCGCCGAGCGCACTCAGCCCAGGCCGGCTCTTTTCAGCACGCTCGTGTAGCCACCGGAGGGTGCGGTGTACACCGTCGGGTCTCAGGACGGTGCACCGTCCGCTCGAGGCGGTGTCGTGTCCGGTGCCAGCTTCCGTATCTCTGTTTTCTGTGAGAATTGCCGGTCCAATTTCCAGTTCCAGTTGCTCGAATTTCCAGCCTGAATTTCCAGCCCTAGCGTTTTGCCTGTGGTTTGCGCATTTGGTCTCCGATTCGAGTTCTAATTTTTGTGTTGGCTTTCTACCGTTTCGAGGCATCTGTCGAAGTACTCTTGTCACTCGCTGGCTTAGGTATTTTAGATTCGGGAACCCGCTTCTTCTCAATAGGAGTTGGGCATCCTATTTTTCGCTCCTCGATTTGGCGTGTTCTCGCTCGGAATGCTTTGTGGTGTCCCGCTGTGTTTCGTAGGAACATCCACACACTTTTTTGGGTTGTGGACATCGCGGTGTTTGCTTCGCGTGTTTGTCGGTAATTTTAGGACATTGGTCGAAAAGTTTAGCGAGAAATTTTACGGCTCTCATTCACTCCCCTCTAGTCGCCGTTTTTAGTCCTTTGGTAGTACACGGTGGCGTGCCGCTGCGGCACGTTGCCGTTGGAGCGGCACCTCGTCAGCGGCGTGAGGACCACCCGGTGGCAGAGCTGGAATTGGCTAAGGCGTCATCAGCGGGATCACCTCCTTCGCAGCTTGCTGCACCATCTTGCCGGCCTGGTCGCTCTCTGTCGCCGGCGTTCTGCTGCTGCAACTCCGCCGGTCACTTGCTAGGGCCTTGTTCTCTTTGCAAATTTTTGCAACCCGATGAATAGTACCACTTTTGTCTTATTTGGCAAATATTGTCCAATCGTAGACCAACTAGGCTCAAAAGATTCATCTCGTGATTTCCAACTAAACTGTGTAATTAGTTTTTTTTTTTACCTACATTTAATACTCCATGCAAGCGGTTAAAAATTGATGTGATGGAGAGAGAGTGAAAAAACTTGGAATTTGGTGTGCATCTAAACAAGGCCTAGCTCTCTGCTAGTCTGCTATACTGCCTCGCTCTGTTTCTAGCTTTGCGTCTGCTCTGCTGCTTCTGCGTCTCCTGGAAGGGGTGTCGCTGTATATTTATACGTGTCGGAGTGGTCGCTCCAGGCGTGCTGGTGCTTACGTATTGGCTTGACTGCCAGCCGGCGGCCGTTTGTTTCTGACTGTGTATTGCGTTCAGGTTCGCGGCAGCAGCAGCGGGCACACGCGCCCATGATTTCTCATTTGTCAGGCAGGTTCGTTGTATAAGACTATCTCCAACAACAACATCTAAAATATAAGATATATCTCCAACAACAACATCTAAAATACAAGACATATTTGTCCTTTGGGTAGCGCTACAGGTAAAAGGTTAAATAACTATTCGGCATCTTCTCCAACAACAAGACCCAAAAGAGAATCCTTTATACAAATAAGTTTTCAGGAGAGAGGATGCCCATATTTGAGTTGTGTCTCAGACAAAGCAAAATAGATCTCCCGTATAGATACTCTGTCGAAGACTAATTTTAGATCTCTTCATATCTATTTTAGATTTGGGTGCCCATATAGGTTCAGACTGTCTAACAGATCATGTTTTGGGGCGCGCAACAGCCGCACGTGACGTTCACACTGCGGGCTGTTTGACTTGTGCGAGAAGTGCATGTCATCTGCAATAAGAGATGACGCGACTAGGACGTGTGACATTTTATACGTAGGATCTTCGCCGATCATCCCTACCTACATTTTTTAGTTCGTCCAGCCGTTGACGTATAAGTAGAATAGCACACTTGTTACGTTCGCAAAAATATACCGGTAGATTCGTCCGATAGCCCACAAAATTAGGCTTTGGTTATTTCCTCCCCCTTAAAGTTTATTCACTGTACTATCGAATATTTGGACAGTATTAAATATAGACTAAAAAATAACTAATTGAATAGTTTGTGACTAATTTATAAGATAAATCTTTTAAGCCTAATTAGTTCATAGTTTGATAATGTGGTGCTACAGTAACATATGTGCTAATGATAGATTAATTCGGTTTAATAAATTCGTCTCGCGGATTACTGACGGATTCTGTAATTTGTTTTTTTATTAGTATCCGAACACCCCATGCGACACCCCCATGTGACACCCGATGTGATACCCCAAAACTTTACACCCTGAATTTAAACAAAGCCTGAGTTGAAAGGTTCCGGACACCCATAAAGATATATTATTCAGGTTGAGTATTTAATCTTGAGAAAGGTAACTGTAAACCATATCATTGATTTTGTTTTTCTGACAAATCCCTTAGCATCGATTAAATTCAATTGTTCTTATCCATAGGTATTTTGATGACATTTTGGGTCTAGATATTGGATACACTAATTAGCATATTGCTGAACGACTTTGATTCCATCTATATTGGTCGTAATTGGATGTCTTTTTTGTTGTATTTGTCTCGATCATATCCTCTAGGAGCACATAAATTGATTTTGAGTCATGACAATTATTCAAAACCATATAAAAGGAGTTTGATATATTTTGTATGTTCAAGATCATGATCCACAAAAAATAATTTGTCATCAGCATATTGTAAGATAGGTAGACCCTCATCTACTAAATCCGGAACCACTCCCACCCACAAATTAGTAATTCAAATTGCCAATATATTAGCAATTAAGTTGTATAAAATTGAAAAAAGTGGATTAACATGCCTAAGCCATTTTGTGTGTGGGAAAGAAGTCTCCAACATCACCATTTATCTTAACACCCACACACACCGTTTTCAAAAATTAATAATGGAGGAACTAGAATTGCCAACATATCAATAATTTAGTTGAATAAAATTAGGATGGTGGGCTGGTCCGCTCTCACCCGCCGAAGGTTCTAGGTAGCTATGGGTGACTACTTAATGAAAGAAGCACGCCAGGGCCGTCTCTAGGGGTGGGCAAGAGGTGCGACCATCGAGGGCCCAAGCTGCTAGGGGGGCATGAGTATATATGTATATAGTAGATATATATAGGCATTATAATAAAATGTTTTAAGATTCATATATTAGGCCAGTGTCTTTTCCTATTTTCGATCGATATAGTTTGTCGATACATCACACTTCGATCAATCTCCGGATCGTCTTCTCGTCCAGTCACCTCAGTGCGGAGTGCCCAACGCTGTCGCCCGCCACCCACTGCGGACGTGCGAGTGTGAGAAGCAGGACCGTGGGCGTCTGGCTGGCCATTGAATGGCTTGGATATGGGCAACATTGAGCAGGATATTTTGAAATTGATCTCACAACAGTTCTTGAAGATTTTGAATCAAGAAATGCCCAAAACTGATTTTTTTTACAAAGCATTGAAGCGTTATTGTTTTATTTGAAATAATCGTAATA